AACAACAACAACAACAGCCACTATGAAAATGCCCAGACTGACATACGATAAAAGAAACGGTGGGCACATACCACGAGGCGAGAAAAATATTTTGCCTTTTTTGGAATTGGACACGGACCGAACAACAAGCAATTATTAAAGCTGACGGCATTGGTTTGGTTAAAGTCAATCCTCAGAGTGCGTATACCTGGGGAATATACTTATCCGCATTGTTCTACCACATTCCTTCCGGCAAATTCCCAACCAAGTTGTTACCTGTGAAAATCTTAATTCTGTGGATATAAATTCTGGTCTATTCATTTGGCAGCAGTTAGACCACCGTACACCGGTAATCCCAAAATCATCAAACGTAAGTCAACCTCATTATTATCACCATCCCATTGGAAACGAGCTACCCAACAACAATTTATCGAGATTCCTGTTTGGACCGACAAGAAAAGGTCAAGCAAATCATTGGCGCCCAACTACACCTTTTCAAGTTTATAATGAGAAAATGTAAATTCATATTGAGAAATCCTAAATTGATAATGAGAAGCGCAAATTCATATTGAGTGAGTACAACTTCATAATGAGAAATATAAATTTATATTGAGAATATATAAGTTGATAATGAGAAATATAAAATCATAATTACAAAATAAAAATTGATAATGGGAAATATAAATTCATATTGAGAATATATAAATTGATGATGAGGAATGTAAGTTCGTAATGAGAATATATAGATTGATAATGAGAAAACGTAAATTCCTAATGAGAAAATGTAAATTGATAATGAGAACATAAAAAATTATATCAATGGAGAGCAAGTACTTTACTCTGGAGTCTGCGAGCTAATGTCGCGATATTGGGTGAATTAAAGCAAGCATCAAAGGACACTGCCAAAAAAATTTATAATATATACAACCCGAAATTAAAGTTGGACAACTCATTTACACCCCCGCTGTGTGTGAGCGCCCCCATTTGCCTTTTTATGTGTAACACTTCAGCTGTGGTTATTGCATCAATAAAGTGGACGTTTGGCCCTCTGAAAGCAGGGAGCTGTAGAGTGGCGCGGTGGCCAATTTTTTTATCGGCCTCGTGACATTCGGCAAAACAAATTAAAATTTGTTTCATCCTTTCATGCTATTTGTTTACCACTTTCGGCTCGTTTTAATTTGTTATCCTGCGAGTTCATGGTTATTGGTTGCGTATGGACTTTTTTGCAACTGTACAGATTGCCCTCGAGATAATTTGGTGCTCAATTCTACATTAAACTGGTTTTGTACTTTTCTTTTTAATTGTCCAAGGGTAAAACTGCAGTCACCTTCAAGCCAGGATAACATAGTCATCAAGTTGTCTTCAGTCAGCCTTTTGCGGTCGCTTACACCTCTTGGTTTTGCTTCCGAATCTTCGCTAATGATCCAACGATAGACTTGAGTGTTAATATTTTCTCATTATGAATTTACGTGTTCTTATTATCAATTTATATTTACTCAATATGAATTTACATTTCTCATTATCAATTTGTATTTTCTCAATAAGAATTTTTATTTCTCATTATCAATTTGTATTTTCTCAATATCGATTTACATCTCTCATTATCAGATTATATATTCTCAATATGAATTTACATTTCTCATTATCAATTTGTATTTTCTCAATAAGAATTTTTATTTCTCATTATCAATTTGTATTTTCTCAATATCGATTTACATCTCTCATTATCAGATTATATATTCTCAATATGAATTTACATTTCTCATTATCAATTTGTACTTTCTCAATATGAGTTTACATTTCTCATTATCAACTTGTATTTTCTCAATATGAATTTTCATTTCTCATTATCAATTTGTATTTTCTCATTATAAACTTGAAAAGGTGTAAACGGGTGAAAAAGAATAAGTTTTGTTGAACATAGCCACACTTAAGCCCGGCATAAAATAACCGCGTGCTCAGCTGAGGGAATATAGCAATTTCATCATCGAATCAATTTAATACATCATAAAATAAGATTTAAGGAAAAATTAAAATCTTTTAGTTATTTTCCTCATTTTGTTGGTCACAAAATTTTACGTCGGTGAACCGTACATATTCGAGTTTAATAGATTTTTGATAAATTTTTTCTTTTAGAAATTCCGCTATTATAAAGCATCATTGATATTGAATCAAATAATTATTTTTTGAATTCATAATCACTGTAAATCAATATCGTCCTCAGTCTTCACACGGCATGATTTAATTGATTTTTATTGGAGCTCGTTTTCAATCAAAATTTTGGTGAATATTTTGATTATTTATTTCCGTGATCGATCTGCGATGCGAACACCATTGATCAGCAGTCATACTCATTCTCGTTCAGTTCAATTCGCCAATTCTGAAAGGCAAGTTAATTAAATTTTTTTAATCAAGTTACACCACACATCGACGTTCAAGATTTTTGAACCAATAACTTGTCATTTCGTCAACATAACCGATAACACGGTCAATATTAATTGAACCAAACTATTAATTTTTCTTTATTTTTTTGTAATTTCTTTGGGTATTCATTCCCAATAAAATTTGAAACTCGTATCAAATTAATTTCGTTTAACATTCTCAAACAGGTTGAATATTCTCAGTCTGATNTTAACATTCTCAAACTGGTTGAATATTCTCAGTCTGATTTGGTCTTCCGGTAAATTCGGGGGTGGATAGTCTTGATCTTTGTTGCGTACCTTGTTGGCGACAGAAGGGACCGAAGGAGATACATGAAATACTCCCAAGAATTCAAGGCCTTCGCTGCATCCCGGGAGCAAACAACTTGGTCCATAAAAAGATTCGAGCTAGTGCGTTAAACGCCATTCTCAGCCCACGTTCGGTATAATACTAAACAAAATTTTGGACCGAAAATCACATGAGATATATAACCAATTGAGCGTGAATTTTATGTTAAACTAATTAGATTAAAAGCAATATTCAAATAGTGATCGATTTATGCGGCATTATTTTTTTAAATTGGATATTCGAAACTAACATAGATTGGTTTTCGCTGATTAGGCTTAGACACAATCATAGAATCATAATAATAATAAACAGAAGGAAATCCGGTATTGATTTTAAATCGAGTACCGCCATCTTATAACTCGGACCGTAATAGTACGGACTTTACGTCTACCGTTGGTCGAATTTTTTTAATAATCTGAATTTACAACTTGGTATTTGAGTTTCAGATTCGATTCCAAACCCGAATATACCGACTTCGGTTCAGGCAACTGAACCACGGTATACCCTGACCACTAGTACGGTTAATTCAAATACTGTACCAGCCGTTCTCAATTCAGTGTCAGGCGGGACGAAACACCCTCATTACACCAACTGTCCGAAATGGTGTCCGAGTTGTTGAGAACCCAAACACAGATGCAACAGCAAATGATCCGTGACCGGATTCATTTACAGACACCAATACCTGACGTTCGTGACATGAACCAAACCATGCCAACGACCCGGAATCATACCTGGATGGGTGGTCCTTCAACCTTACAAACTCAAACGATCAATACCTACCGTGGTCTTATAACGTCACATATCCAAGAACCAATTAATCAACCATCTCATTTATATCCCAACTATTCGCTATCCGATCCACCACAATCACGACCAAATTAAGCCACTGTATTCGACGAATCTGCCCAAGCGGATGTAATGGATAGGAAATTCAGAGGCTTACCATCATGGATGGGACGTGCTCAATTCGATGGCATTCATGTGAACGAAAAATTTCTATCGGTTGAAGATTATTTGGCTATTATTGGCTCATTTCGATATAAGATTGGACCGACTATGAATTGGTTACGCGTTTGGTACCCACACTCACGGGGGCCGCTCGACAATGGTACTTCACCGAACTGAGAAACTTCGGAGATTATCAAGATTTTTGCACGAAACTTCGTGCTCGTGTCCTCAACAAACATACTCGGGCCCAAGTAATAATGTCATACGCACAGATTAAATTCGATCCACGTTCGCAAACACTGCTGAAACATATCGATGACTTGACATTCCAATTGCATGGTAATTCCTGTGGTCTGGATGAACGGGACCACGTTGATATCATCATTGGAACCTTATCCGATCATCTGCGTGAACTCGTCCACACTCGACAAGTCCACACGTTGGAGCAATTGCGTGAGTTCGCTCAGCGAATTGCACCACATTCGTTCATTGTTGCCACACCCCGTCCGGAAAGAACCCGCTCTTATAGACAGCGATCAGCGCCACGGGAAATTTCGGCAATACATGATCCACCGGATGATTCTTCACATTCGGAATATACCGCTTCGTTTCCTGGGTCCGACTCCGATAACAGGGAATGTGCATACGTGAACAAGCAAAAGAAACCAATTAAAGCATCTCAGAAACGTTGGTATTCGAAACCAGTCGAGGATTATAAAAACGACAAAAATCCAAAGGAGAATGATATGAAAGTAGGAACTATCGTCTACCCATTTCTCGCTGTTGAGGGCGACGAAAATGTACGATGTGCAAAATGTCTCGTGTGGGGCCATCACTTCAAAAAGTGTCGAACCCAACCGAATAGGGAGATCTGCTACAAATGTACACGACCGGGGGTTGCGTCTGATCAATGCCCGTGTTCAAAAAACGCGTAAGGGANAGTGGTCCTTCAACCTTACAAACTCAAACGATCAATACCTACCGTGGTCTTATAACGTCACATATCCAAGAACCAATTAATCAACCATCTCATTTATATCCCAACTATTCGCTATCCGATCCACCACAATCACGACCAAATTAAGCCACTGTATTCGACGAATCTGCCCAAGCGGATGTAATGGATAGGAAATTCAGAGGCTTACCATCATGGATGGGACGTGCTCAATTCGATGGCATTCATGTGAACGAAAAATTTCTATCGGTTGAAGATTATTTGGCTATTATTGGCTCATTTCGATATAAGATTGGAC